TCGTTAACTTTTAAGTAAAATTAAAGAGAGAAGAGAGAGAGAGAGAGAGAGAGGGATGATTGGAATAAAAATTGCTTGAAATGTACATCAACGCTGAGTAAGATTGCTTCTGAATCATCATTATCATGAAGTGAAATTATTCATATCTATTCCAGTAATTATCACTTAATATCGATTTAAATTCATTAAAATTAATTCATTGTGTTACAGTGGAATGTTACAGCTTATGATTTTTAATAATAATTAATTGATTGACTGAAGAGGAAGAGAAAAATTGATTGATCAGAAATTACTTATATTTCATTTCCTTTCTTGCATTCCAAAATTCAATTAGTGAGGTTATTTTTTGGTTTTAAAATGAATGAAGAAGGAAAATTCTTCCAATGCCTTTTAGATTTTGTTAAACAAGAAGATCAGAAATTCAATTAAGAAATGAAGAAAAACGATCTCATCCAATTCATTTATTACAGTAATCGATGGTATTGCTTTGAGTCGTTTCGGTAGAAGGTCGATTAAGGGTGCTGAGGAAGAGTCTAATGTAAGACGTTAATAAATCATCCATTTTGTATCCCTGCAAAAAAACACTTTAACAATGCATAAATATGAAATATGTACTTTAATCTGAAATAGTTTCATATTTTCAAAGATATTTTGATATCGTATTAGCTTCAGTTGACGTCTTCCTATTCAATTGACGCTTAATGACGTCGAAGTTGACGTTTAATCGTTTAATGACGTCAGTTATCATTTTTGCATAGCCATTGATTGATTGAAACAACAAGAAAAGATATCTGTTTCATAGTTAAGTTTTTTGATAGACACTCAGTATCAATGCAAGTTACGTCACTCGCTATCAATGCAAGTTACGTCACCTGCTATCATTGCAAGTTACGTCACCCGATATCATTATAAGTTACGTGACTATCTTTGAAAGTAACATATCGAGAGCTTACCAGCGATGTTTCCAAGAGTAATCGAGTACCTCGACCGCCCTTGATTAAATTTCCAATAGTCATATGAAAGTATGTATTACCGCTGTTCCAGTTGCTCAATATTGTAAATGGATAGTGGACAATACGTTGTTTAGTTGATGGATTATATAAATGGACGCCTGTTTTATTTATCGCTACCAATAATTTATCCGGAATTGCTAAATCTGATGATTGCTTTACCTGAAAAATTCCAGTTTCAGAAATCAGTTTTTTCTGATTTTCATTTAAGAACTAAAATTAAATTAAAATTAGATCACAGCCTATTATATCGATAAGAATGCAAATTTCTGCTTGAAATTTTGCAATGAAATTTTCAATCAATCTTGAGTATTCTTCCTTGAATTTTTAAAAAAATAACTAATTTTTGTGGGATAAATACCTCGAAGAACGTAGAACTGAAAGTTGGCCATTCAGCGATCGTTTTCAGGAAATGTATTTTGGCTTCGTTTGATGGGATATTCTCATAACGTCCAACGTATGCATTTGTTATAAACTTAAAAAATAAAATAACTAAGAATTTTATTAAAATTAAGAAAAGTAATAAATAATAACCATTATGCAAAAAAAAGAAAAAAACGAATGAAAATAATCCGCGAAATCTTCGATAAATTAATCAAAAATACAAAATTGAAAATGGATGTGATGAGAGTGTAATTAGCAAACATTCAAATTTGAATCATTAACAGTAAGATATGATTTAAAATGAAACAGCTCAACCTTTTTCCATTCAGTACCACTATATATCTTGATCATATCACGCGGAACGATATCCGCGATGATTTGCGCCAACTGTGATAATGGTGCTGCCTTATCATCACGAGTTCGAGCACGAAGTAATATAGCTGCTAATTCTACTACTTGCTTTCGAGTGACCGCATGATAACCACGTAAATATTTGGGCAATTCCTGGGAATAATTAATTGTAAAGAAAAAATATAAAAGAATTTTGAGTTAAGATCAATTTTTGAATAAAAATAAAGAAAAAAATTTTGGATAAAAATGAAATTCCGGATTGCGGAAAATATTTTTATGAATTTATCGTCTTTGTTTCCATCTTCCTCAAAGTATCTGAATGTTCTATTAGTGAATAATAAAGCATTAGTGTTTTAACTTTTTAGAATAATTATCTATCCTGAAAATAATGTTCTAAAACAGTATCAGAGCAATGATAAGATATATGATAAATATGTAGCATGAATTTTCACGAAAAGATATAAGAACCTGAGGATAGTGGAAAATGAGGTCAGCAATACGATCTTCTCCAGGTACTGTATTAATCCATAGCTTTTTCATGAAGAAAAGTTGGTAGGAGAAGTTAAATACAGTCCCATTTTTTGGATGCATCCATTCGAATAACTGACGTAGGAAGTCGAAGAAAAATTCGTTATCCGGAATTGAGATAACTAAAAGAAGAATAATTAATCGAATATTTTCTCTTTTCAAACTATACCAAGCATTTCATTACCTTTGCTATTAACTTTTACAAATAGAGCAAATCCATCCACGGAATTGAGCCCTAAATGTGTCGCAATTCGATGACAAAAATCTCGAGCTTTTGTTGTTGAATCTACTTCGATAATCTCATCTGAATTATCAGGAAAGAAAACTTTATGAAATATTTGTACAGTTCGTTGTCGTACTGCTTCCACTTCCACATCATGTGGTGGAAATTTTCGACGTCCAATCCTAAAATCATATATCAATTTAGATAAAGATGGAAAGAAAATTGAAAGAATAAAGATTACATCATTATTCTTTCATTTTTTTTAAAGAATAAACTGATCGATAATAAATGAAAATGACAATTATCAGATTGTACCGTTGGATTCGTCGAAGTCTAACAAGACAATGCAACGCTAAAGGATGTTGTCTTGTGCGAAAAAATAATTCCACTTCATTGAGGAGTGATTGACTTGGAGGGAATATACCGGTGCATAACCACATTAGCTCCCATCCATGCTCCATACTTATCGGATTGTAATTCCGCGTTAACTGTTTCATCAATTGACAGTACAATTCATCTCGAATGATTTCCTGTAAAATTATCAGCAATCAATAAACTATTGAATGCTTAAAAGTAATATCTTAGTTTCAAAAGAATGAAAAAAAAAATAAACGAACGTATTTAAAGGCTCCTTTGAAAACTTCATCGGTAAGTTCAGTGATGGTAAAAATGCGCCGACATGGATAATCTCCCATATATTTTAAAATTGCTAAATAACCTTTAATTGCTGCTTGTGATGGCTCTCTCTTTCCTTGTAATTTCTGCAAAATTCCTAATACTATAATCATGCTAAATAAACAGATCAATTATAGACAGATAATTCAATGTCACATAATGTTTCCAATAATTGTCATAGCTAAAGAAGAAATGTTAGATTGTCTTACAGTATAACGAAATTTGATATAATCGCCTTGAATCTTATAATCATTATGAGAGATATAAAAGTATCCAAACCTTTAATAAAGGCATCTTTATTGGTTCACGATTATAAGACCATAAGCTATATGGTGCATAATGTTCATAGAAACTTTCACTTAAGCCTTGTGGTGGTCGTGGTGCTGCTCTGTAAACTTCATTTTCAATACAGTATACTTATATAATAAAAAGATCACTTCAATAAAGTCAGTTTTCAGGTATTCTAAATTGAATATATTTAAAAATTAATCTTAAACAGTTTCCTGTGATATTTAACAATTCATAGCAGTAAGGCATAATGAAGGAAATATATAATTCAAATATTTATTTTAAAATGAATAAAATGAACAATCAAAAGATCACCTGAAATTATCATTAGCGAAACGTTCTAGCGTATGCTCGCGATTAACTACGAGATGATGAGTCATTAATGACATCTGCCGATTTATAGGACAACCAAGTTCTTGGGAACGTGACAGCATATCCTAAATGAAAATTTAATCAATGATAATATCATCATTTGCAATGAGTTAAATTGAATGTCACCAATGTGGGTGATTATTAGTACATCTGACAAAGGTTATCATTCTCAGAAATAATCCGTATGTTTCGTTTTTACGGTAAACTATTCTTTTTGGTGCATTTACTTATTAGTGATCTCTTGTACTAGGAAAGCATATTGAAACCCCCTTATCACATCATATCATAATTCCTGATATGAATATTCTGTGGGATAAGCTTCAATTAAATAAGAAAGATTACCAAATGTTAACTAATATATTAGTAAAAAACCATTCGATAATGTTGATATCAGAGCAAATCATAACTGACCATTGCCTCTACAGATGGTTTACATATCGTTGGAAGGACATGAACTAAATTAACAGGTATCATCCCTTGATTACCAGTTCTCATATTTTCTCCTTTAACAAATTGATTGTTGCGAAGTGATGCTCCACAGTACTCATCATTCAAGAACAATAAATCACCTTTTTTGAAATTCAAACAAGTATTCCACTCCTCCTTACCTAAAAGTATAATTGGTATTATAATTAGATGAGTGATTTTCATGTTAGCATTAAAAATAAATTGAAATTATATGGTAGAGATATCAGAAGTGGAAAATACTACATGGAATTTTGCGTATAGCTAATTGAAGAATAAATCATTAATCAAAATGATAAACACCTGAAAATTACCTTCACCGGTGAAATAATCCTGAAGAGCTAAAAGATATCTTGACCTATTTTTTAATCCATTTAAAAAAAATTCAACAATTTGTTTGATATCTTTTGTACTTAAAGACTCAAAGCAGTATTCTTCGCCACCGATCATTTCAATTGTAAGCATCTCGATACCATCTCTATCGTTTCTGAAATAATTTAGATTTTATTTCATCAAAAATTAAACTATTCAACCAATTAAGATAACATCTGATAACGCATAAGGAGAGAGAGTAGAGTTTACAAGGAAAGTTTATAATTTACCTTGCTTGAGACCTCTCAGATTGTTTATAGGTTAAGAACTGGAATAGAAATAACTTGATTGGATAGATATTGTAATTGATAATGAAAAGAAATAGAAGCGTTTAGGAAATGAAATTTAATAAATTTGAAGACGATCGAATATTTTTAAAATTATAACTCTATTTTATTGTTTAATTATTTGAGTGTAACTGTGGATGAAATAAGGAGGATGAGAAATAGAAGAATACAACTGTCACTAAAAATCGATAGCACTGTCAAATGAGTACAAAATTTAATTCAATCATTTTTTTTTCCCAACTTTTTCATGTTCAATGAGTCTTTGCTAATCAAAGATTTTGAAATTTTGATTTCACTTACGTTGTAGATACGATTCGTGAAATTTGTGGATAAGTAAGTTGCAAAATAACATCATCCTGACCATCGATCACGTAAATACCTTGCCAATTTACAGCAATCAGTAACTGAACAACATTTGATGATTAGATTTTAATATTTTAACAATTAATTTTATTGAATATAATCATTAATATTTAACTTATACAATTAATAGCATTTACCTGACTATCGGGTAAAGAAGAGCTAGCATAACTAAATGCTTCAAAATATCTGGAAAAAAGAAGCGGCCATTTTTGTTTAGCAAATGTCACCACATCTGCTTTTACTTCCTCTGCACTTGGATGGTTTTGTTGAAATTTCTACAATAAATAAACATTCCACTTATCATATTATCTCTCAGATGTAGAACATTATTTCATTATAGTCATTGATAAATGATTCATTTGATTCACTTATAGCATTATACCTAATGATGAAATGAAGTATGATCGATGTATGTGTGACAATCATGAGAATAATTATGCTAATTAGAGTAAACAGAAGGACATGAAATACCTTTCTAAAGGCATGAAGTACGAGATGCAACCATCGTTCATGATTGTTTTCGTTGGTGTCCAGAATATCATCCTCCGGAAGATACATCATCAAGCTATTTTCCAACTTATCTATATTTATTGCATCATCCTCGTGATAAATGTAGTACTGTTGAGCAGCAAGTACTGCCATTTCTTCCTCCTTATTTTATGAAATAATCTATTAATTATGAAAAAAAATTGTTCTGGCTACATTATCAGAATTAACAATTGATCCCAAATATTCCACTCTATTCTCTGATATTTTTAGAGAGAGGGAACTGAATCGGATAAGAAGACAATAACTTTTATTGCAGTAGGGAACAATTGGGTTTCTCTTATTTGTATATCTGAGAGCGTTCGATATTTTCTTCGTAATCACTCTAATCAATAGCTTATTATCGTAAATAAGATGATAAACATAGTAAGCTGACCTTAGTAGTGCGATATTCGCCGCATTTGACACCTCGAATGATTTGATGATAAATGAGATTTGTGCTTATGGAATCAGTGCTAAAAAAATGTGAAACATTTTCTTTTCAATTATTTTTAATTAATTTTAATGCATATTATGAGAAGCATTCCTGCTAATATACTTAATAAATATGAGAGTAGGAGGATATGCTTAGCGGAATCTCTTTGAGAAATTGTTAAAAGATTAGATCTGCGGAAAAAATCTGTTTATTATGGATAGTACCATTGAAATATTAACAATATAAATATTTTGAATACTACCTTGGATCATGCCATGGACTGAAAATTTCTTTCCTATAAAAGAAACGCCATGATGAATTTACAGCTTCCTTGATTGTTTCCGTTGCGTATTGTTCGCATTGACTTATTGCATCCATGATATGGCCCGTTCCGGAACCGAGCGAAACGACCTGCGGCGCATATTCTATACATTCATTATTGCGCCTTGTTGTGCAAAAAATTCTCTTTGAATTTTTTTTTTTTTTTTTTAAACATAACTATTAATGATAAATTGTTAGACAATAATCCTTGCTAGTAGAGTAAAAAGTGGAAGAGAGAATGAAAAATAAACTGATGAAATCACAGAAGGGTAATTATTCATTAGAAATAAGTTGAATTTGAATTAATTAACAAATTTAGCTGTAACGATAAGTTAATGAGAAAAGTAAAACATAAAATAACATTTTGTAATATTTCTAAAATAAATTTATACACTCACTGAGCGAAATATTAATCATTTTATCGAATTTCACAGTAGTATTAACGATCTGAAAGTGATAAGTAATGAAAAAAATAAATAATAAAAACTAAAATCCTACCTTATCAAAGTATGTGATATAAAGAGAAAATCCAAACGAGTCCTTGAGTGTGATACTATCGGCAACTTCATCACAGATCTCCTGAGATGTTGTCGCCGAGTCTGCACATACCGTAATCATAGTACCATCCATGAGTGTAATATGGACTGATATAGGTTTCTTCATCTTTGATGCCTGGAAATAGTTGAATATATGAATTCTTTAATATGCAAATTAAGACATTTTAGTTTGGAAGATTAAAGACGACTTGTATCTTTTTCGTTGAAAACACAGCTTAAGAAGTTTCATCGTAATAAGAGATAAGACTGTATTTAATCGGATAAGAAATTTTGAAGTGAAAACTTTTAGATTTAAATTCAAATTTTTCAATGTTTTCGGGAATTTAAAATTGAAGATTAGTTTTAACATTTGATCGCAATAAGAAGATTTTATTTCGTAGCAATTATCAAAATAATAATTTTTGCTTCTTTCAATTTTCCACATTTATAAAGTCGCATTCTTATGAATAAAGTAGGATTGTTATGTAAAAGTAGAGTTGTTCCATGGTACCGTAATCATTGGACGACATACTGTATTGGATGAATCCAGTTCGAAACTGGAAACGGATTACACATACAGAAAGTTAAAAATAACCTGTATCTCTACGGAATTAGGAGGATAATTACGTGTTCCGTTTGCTAATGTTCGTTTCAATTTACTTTCCATATATTCCGCAAAACGTCCAGTTGGGCAGGTTTGTCGTATGAAACATTGCAAATAGGGCAAAAAACGATCCGTTGGACCAAAACAACCCAAACATAACGATAACAGTATCCAACCACGAGCGCATGAACTTCCTGATGGATTTTTTGTCAACTGTTTACATATTTGACAGTATATTTCATCCCTGCAAAATTATCGTTGTATTTTACAAACTCTTCGTTCCACTTTCCTGTTCTATTTAGTATTGTTTGGAAAAGTTTATTTGCGACAAAAGGCAGAATTAATTATCTTTGGCATTAATTAGATGAATATTACCTATCTGCTCAATTGTCTTTCTCCATTCTCTTATTAATTTTCAAGAAATTTGGAAATTTGAAGAAATTTACTAAATATTCATACAAAAAAAAAGCTAAAAAAATCTTTTGATATTTAGGAAAATATAGGAAAAGAAATATTTAGGAATTACTAACACTTTTATCAGATTAAATTCTCAATTTTTTGAAATTTAAATTCCTACCTTATATCTGGCGTAGAATACCATGTCCAACAATAAATTGCAATTTATCCTGGTTAGACGGTATATCTTCATTCAAGAATGTGTTATAATACTGCTGATAGCTGCCATATTCGTTGACATTTCTCGTTTGCATTCCATGTTCGTCAGGTGATACATCGGTGTGTGATGTGATACCATTCTGTTGCGGAAAAGCCAGCTCCATAGTTGAGGAATGATACTTTTTTGAACTAAATAATAGCTGAAAAGAAGAGATGATCTGAATGAGTTTCTGTTAGCATCTATCCTCCATTCTATCCTACTTCTAATCATACTTTTTTCCGCAGTAGCATCAAAGTTCACGTACAGCTTACCTGCTCATAGTCACTTTCACGTTGGTTTCTTCTTTTGAACACGTTTCGACTATTTACAGCATGCAGTTTGCTCATTACAGATGTATGTTTGACCTTCAATTTATGGGATACATGTAAATCTTTACAAAAAAATAATTAGCTAAAATCTTTAATCTTTAGTCTTTAGTCTTTAGTCTTTAGCTAAAGTCTTTAGTCTTTAGTCTTTAGCTAAAGTCTTTAGTAAATCCTTAGTTAAAAAATTTCTCTCTTCGATGGTTTGAAGAGAAGAAAGTACTATCCATGCAATGAGCATTATGAGATAATCATAGGTAATGTCCACTTGAGCTCTTCGTCGTGTCTCCTTATAGCGAGAGATAAGACGACACAATGAGTGATACCATTAGCTATTGAGCTAATAGCTAACAATAGAACGCAAAACTGATGAATCCAAATGAAACATGAAATGAGTAAATTAATTTAAATGAAAGTACGTTTTCAAGATTCTGCGAAGGTGATAAGATTTTTGGTTCCAATATGTCTCCCATAAAGCGTTGTATTACTGACCAAATTGCTAATGAGGCCTGTAAATTCGATTTTAGCAATAAAACATTTATACTATGATAGTATTAATGATAAATGAATCAATCCGATTTGATCTAAATAAATGAATTAACCGGAATTAACCGGAATATTAACAGTTAACCGGACTTACAGCACGATCAAAATCGGAATCATGTGGCAGCAATGAAATGCGAAGTGACTTTCGTGTATAATAAGCATTGTTTTGTATTTGAAAATATGTTGCTGCAAATTTTTCAAATTGAAAAGCAATCAGGTTGTTATCATTTGTTGCTTCTGTCGTTTTATTATTGCAAGTTGTTGACCGATGACAGGAATATTCGCTGAAATTATTGATAATGCACTGATAATGGTAATAAATGTATTGGGGCTTAAAAGTTTAAGCTTAATTTAACAAAGACAAAAAAACTTGCAAAATTTTAGAATTAATTTGTACAGTTTCAAAATTTTATGCTTAATTACACAGCTTTGGATTCGATTTTTGAAAAAAATTTTAAATTCAAACTTTTTTAAACCAATTTTTTTTTAAATTTTTTGAATTGTTACGTTTTATTTTGTTGCTGTCGCCTTTCAGTTTGAATTATATCACAAGGAGAAATGCTATTAGATGATGAGTAACCAAATAAATGTTCTATCTGAAAATTGATAAAAGAAATATGTCATAAAATTTTATTAACTTTTAAAAATTTAATATAACTATTTCAGATAAAACATAACCAGAGCAATATCGCAACCATCCATATTGCTAGAAATTGATGTGATACTAGTCTTACAACTCAGTATATCATCCTCTGATACCATCATTGCAGGAAATCGTTCACCGGATTCAATTTTATGCCGGAGTGTATTTCGTATCAATGCACCACGACAACGAGCCGGAACAAAAAAAAATTTATTATTTTGCTTTTAAGTCTCAATTAATAATAATTGAAAGTATGAAGTTTGATATAATGTACTGATAGAATTAGGAGAATAAGACTAAATGAATGTTTATGAAAGTTTTATGTCTTGTGGGTTTATTCGATGTTTCACAAGAAAAAAAAAAGGTTAAAATTGCATATATCAGAAGAATCATTTAAAAATAAATTCAAAGATTGGATGAAAAATTTTCAGGTCAAACTTTTTTTTCAATTCTTTTAATAATTGATACACATATAAAAGAAACCTGGAATTGTGTTATGATAGCTCGAAATAGCTTGTAATGAAGGACAATTTGCCTTGAACGAAGGATCGCTTGAAGTCTCGCAAATCCCAGTCGTATCTAAAATCCAACTTTTCTTAACTTACCTATCCACCAGATATTTACAGCATAATGTTCCATACCTCCCAAATTATTTTTGACCTCTAATTATGCTAGTAATTCAGGTTAGAATTATTGAACATCAAAACTTTTTAAATTATTCAAAATTTTGAACTGCCAATTTGCTCTCTATTGATATGACATGATTATTTGACATTAAAATTTGAGATATCTTAATTTTCTTAGATAAGAGATAAAAGGAAGGAAGGAAGTTGGATAACTCATTTATCCGGAATAGACAATAACTTCTAGGAATGAATCCACTTAAGTTTTCAAAATGCTTTGAAAACAAAGTTATGAAATTTCAGAATCTTGCTTTACATAGGTAAGATGGAGCCATTGTAACCTTTATTCAACAGTAGCACAAATCCAGGACTCTTTAAAATTTTTCTTAAGGCCATAAATCAGGGTTACAATATATTGCAGTTGTAATAACTATTTTATTTTCACTTCTGCTAATGTTCGGAAAGTACCGTTCAGGCTTTTACTTTATTTTCTTCATCAACCTTCTTGACCCCTTCTTACCACTTCCAGTATAACGATGAATTTTCCAATATTTATCATGTCATCAGGTCAAACTTTATATCTGCTTATCAGTATAGATAATATCACAAAGGTTGACCAATCTCTTGACCTATTTTAGCATCCTTATCTCCTCCTAATATCTAACTTCCTAACAAAAAAAAAAAAAAATCTTGTAAAAATTTTAGATTTTAATTTCTTAGCTAAAAATTTGTTTCCAATTAATTAATTATCTTTGTATTAATAATGTATATGTACTCCATTACATGATATAAATAATGGAAAATTGATCACTATTTTTATATTGGGAATGATTCAATAAAAAAGCTGTAAATTTAAATTTCTTCAAATCTGATGCAAATTGATAAATTTCAAATCCATGGAATATTATCATTACCTGATGATAACGTTGACGTTGCACATAACCTCGCCAATATTTTTCAATAATTATAGCAGCAGCTTTCATTTGTTTAAATTGTATTCGATGAATCCATCCACGAACAGTTTTCTGAATTATTGTTACTCGCAATCTTAACATACGATCGTGTTCCTGAATTACAGTATTATTAGAATTGTATTTATATTTATATCCTTTAAGAATCGTAACCCAATTAAGAATCCAGCTTGAATCATCTTGAATTACCTTTTTAATAATATTGAAATAATTAGAATGTTTCACTTAAATGCTTGAAAGTTTATAAAATTTTTTCTCATTTTAAATAATTTAAGTGGAATTTTAATATTTATTTATGTGATGAAAGCAACAAATGAGTCATTTTAAGCAACAAATGAGTCATATTAACTTTTTACTTTACAATAAATCCATTACTTGTTGAAGTAGCAAATTTTGCGCTTCCTTTAAGAATATCATTGTTTTCCCAAGCCTAATATCAGCTTTTAATCCCAAAACAGTATTACAAATTCGTCGTGATGCCACACGACAATCTATTGTACTCGGTGGGCCTAAAATTTGTTCCTATTGCAATTTATAAAATTGTTTTTGAACTATTTCGGGAAAATAATTTTGGTTTTAAAATAAAATTTATCCGAGGCTGAGATTGAATTTTTATAATTTCAAGTTATAAAATTTGAGGCCTCCAGGATGAATATATAAAATTCAAAATTTCAGAATTTGGTTAATTCAGTGAAATTAAAATCCTCACCAATACCATCGACAAGCAATCGGTAACGTTCCACAAAGTATTCATACTGATATCGAATCGGATAACCTGATTTCCGAATCCTGACCATTTCCAGTAAATTCATATAATGCATTTGCTTGTAAACCATTTCACGCTCCATAAACTTTAATTAGGTTTCTTTAGTGTAAAAAAGGAAAAGGTTACCTTTTGTCAAGTTTATTAAAATGTATTATTTTACCTTTCATTTGTGACAAATGGAGGATTTTTGGTTATTAAAAATCCATTTTAGGACTCTTATCCTATTACGATCTTGTATCACCTAATGAGTAGAGAAAGAAAGAGAGAAAGAGAGAGAGGGAGAGAGAGAGAGAGAGAAGGATGAGAATAAAAATATTTTATTTAAATAAAATATTTTATTTTTGATATTTTATTTCGTAACAACAAGTATCCATAGAATCCCTTTATTATCTTTCCTTTCTTTTTTTCAGACTACACAGAGAAATAGAAATTTGTCAACCTCCACTGTTTCGTAAAATTTCAATAGCTTTGATTAATTTCTCAGACTCTCTTCGATTTGTACAACTATAACATTATCATAACAGTCTAATAATTTACTGCAACTTTACTCGGAGAAGATAGAATCATACACTTTAGAAAAATTTGCAGTCATGTTCTATTAGCTTAAAACAACCAGGTAGTTGCAGTCGTGTTCTATTAGTCTAAAATATTACAACCAGGTAGTTGCAGTCATGTTCTATTAGCCTAAAATATTACAACTAGGTAGTTCCAGTCGTGTTCTATTAGCCTGAAATATTACAACCAGGTACCATATGCTTACAATAGAGGTTCCTAGAAGTTTGGCAACTTCTCACTATCTTTCATTGTTGTTATTCAAAATTTTCCAATTAAACAAAAGTGCTGCAAAATTAGAAATTGAGATCGAGAGTTGGGAATGTATCGGAGATATGCATTCTTAGATGATAACGAAAATAACAGGTATTAAAGGATGATTTGGTTAGTACCGGTATACAGCTCTTGTTATGCCTTCAAAACATCCCAGTTTAGTATCTTTGAAACCCATTTATAAATCATTTGAATCAGTCTATACCAGTTAGTTACTACAAACTGATAAGTGAAGAAGTCAAAAAATGAAGGTCTCGACAATTGCGCATTCGCAAGCTTATCTCTTGTTATGATTGTTAGCTTTTTGAGGTAAAGTAGTATCAATCTTAATATAATTTTAAAAACAATACTTTGGCATATATCTTACATAACTTTCCCGGAGAACAGGGAATGATTTGAGGTAATATTGCCATTATAATGAAATGAGGAAATCCAAAGATCTATGTAATTTTCTTGGAAAGCTAACAATAATTTCCAGTTCTTTGGATAAAGTTGAAAGTTTATGGGTTAATAAGTTTGAATGAATTAATTAATTAGCTTAGATGAATTAGTTAATTAGCTCCTATGTATATTTCAATTAGTAAAATTAATTGTAAATTTACCAATGGTCGTTTGATTCCATTTGGTATAATGCAATTGATAAAGAAGGGTTCTTTCTGCTCCAAATTTGCAACTAAATTCTCCACTAATTTCTTAAAATTACTGGCAACTGTAGGATGCTTATTTCGCATCATTGACATATCATCATAATTGTAGACATCATCAAACAGTAATCTAAGAAGTCGAAAGTTACTTCCATGTAAAAGTTCAAGTAAATCGGAAGAAAATTTCTCGCGATTTTTATCAATAAAACCTGAAAATAAACATGCAATGGAATTTCTTCAAATATTAGGTTAACTAAAAAAAAAAATGCAAAGTTCTGAATTAATTTTTGATTTAATGAGAAAAGTAATCATAATACTATCATCAATATATCATAACTTATGTATGAGTACAATTAGTTGTAGTATCACAATAATGATGCTGAAGTGTCACATGATATGATTAGAGTAAGTTGCTTAGTCTAAATATCTGATCATTATTGGTTGATATGAGAATACTTCAAGTATTACGACAATCTATTATTATGAATAAATAGAAAAGAGGATAAGAGAGAGAGAGAGACAGAAAAAAAAAACCTTTAGAATGATAGAAAACAATGCCAGCATAATGAGTTACACCAAATGATTTATCTAAATCAGATTGAGGCTTAAAATATAATCCCTTTTTGTTTCCATGATGTGTATGTAATTTTTTGAGCATACTTTGATCGGTACCCTGAAAAATTAGGAAGGAATTAACTTTCTTGTCATTTACTTCAGATATTCCATCCTTTATCATAAGATAATTAGCATGCAAACCTTTGGTAGAATACTTTCTTCATCCATAATTGACATAATACTCATTGGTCCTAATGTAATCAAATCTAAAACTTCTTTATCATCCATAATTTCGATAGGTTCCCAATTTATTTGTTCCATATCATAGGTGCTGAAACCTTACTCTTTATTAGTTCAATTAATAGAAAAAATATATTCTGGAAGATTTTAATATTCACTAAGAATTATTCCTTATATACCATATGGAAATTTTCATCAATCATCAGAGAACAGTGATTCTATTGAAGATATACTCTTTCAGTCTATAAAAATCAGCAAAGTTCCGGAAATCAAATCATGCTGATGTTAAGCTGATTTTCCTATTTGGATTAATGCTTTAATTCTATAAGTGATGTGTCAAAATAATCAAATTTAAGCAAATGAAACTGAAGTTATTTAAGGTCAGAATGTGTTAAGACAAAAAAATAAATTGTTTGATTGATCAATTGATAAATCGATCAATTGATTAATTTATCATTGATCAGTTAATCAGTACAGAGAGCGATATTTTATATGAACACACGTTTATCTTGCATTCGTTTATCTTGCATCTTGCATTTATCTTGCATTCGTTTATCTTGCATCTTGCATTTATCTTGCATTCGTTTATCTCGCATCTTGCATTTATCTTGCATTCGTTCAAATGAGGTTTAGATTATAAAAATGGTTAGTGTCCACAAGTGATGACGTTCCAAAATGTCCATCTGTACATATATACTATCACTTAGTCTTATGATTAACTAAGAAAGACGAAATTTCCACTGACTCTAATTCAATTTTGCCCATTATAAATGTTTATTTCTTTTTTTTTCGTTTCACTCATCACTTTATTAATACTGATAATTGCTAGCAATTTTACTGATAACCGCTAGCAATACACCAACCTTTGTTCCATTTTGAATATGAAATTGATGAATAACTGATGCAAAACTTCGTTCATATAATTTATGCAAAATTGCTCGAAACTATTACGAGTAAAATTCTCGAAACCGAAGATATCAAGGATTGAAATGGTACCATTGTGTGATCCTTCTTTCCGAACTCTCAAAAATATTTCATTCATAGGATGGTTCATTCATTCATTCATTAATTTAGTACCTTTATACCTCATCCTCTCTTTTATACAACAATTTTAAGTACATTTTAATTGCTAGAGAATAAAATTTAGTTGTATAGGTGATCGGTAAGGTTAAGTAAATCTGAATAGAATCAAGTTTCAGTAAATTGAAAACTGAATTACCCATTCATAGCCTCATTGATCTTCTCAACAATACGAAGGAAAAGTCGATGGTAGATTGCTTTGACGAAGACATCCCGTACATTAAGAGTTTGTTCAGCATTCAAATACGAAACAACCCGTTCCATTCCAATCATTAAACTTCGACTTGTCAACGCATTCATCAATGATTGCTTGTCCATCTTTAAAATTCATCAATCTTTTGAAATTATCTGCTCAGATCTGTGATTAACTGTGAAGAAGCTACATGTACTTTGTCAACTCTTCCACAGCACACTGAAATGAGCTAATGATCATTGAAACGAACTACTGACCATCGAAATGAGCTACAATGATCATTGAAATGAACTACTGGCCACTGAAATGAACTAATGATCTGTCTGATGTATTGCAGTTTAACCCTATCGTTGTCCGGTAAATTCTTTGAGGGTTTTTTTTTTTTTTCCTTCTGAATGAACTCATCCGATTCATTTTTCAGAAGTAAATCTTTAAATCCGGTACTATCTAACTGACATCTTCCATTTCATTTTCAACTAAAAGAAAATGAATTATTTCGTATCATAGAAAAGCATACTGAAAGAAGATTAGCAATTCTTCCGATTTCAACCGTATCTCTAATTTCCGCTGCTTCCATACCGTTAATTGATGTAGCTGAAAGTGGAATTAACTTAGGATTATGTTTTTTTTTTTTTTTTGACAGGAACAATTTATCTGAATCTAAAGTGTAAATGACGTATCAGCAATTCCAATTTGACAATTGTCATCAGAGTGATCATTTCACAATTGTCAATAATTAATTTACTTACCGATATATTTAATATTACCAGCATGTAATATTGCAGCAAGAATTTTGAAAATGGACCAAATTTCGGAATCTTTGAACATCAAAACTTTCATGGAAGAACGAATTTCGACCAGATCGGCTGCATCATCTCGGCCTTCCACTTCTAGCGCACCACCCTTCAACAATCACTCATATGATGAAGATAGTATCATTTTATAAGTCGATAGAGGTGATAAATGAAATCTGATACAGATAACGGATATGGAAATGGACAAGCCAACCTGATTCAAGTAATAGAAGTCACTGGCATTACTTAGGGACAGTTCTTGCTTCTCCGATGCAGTTAAACCAGCTAGGAGACAATAAAATATATGATAATTCCTTTCATCTAACGCTTGCGAAACGACCCGTGATTTTTCCAGTAAATAATGCTCAAATTTGACACTTTCAATTGCCCCATTACATGTGAAGCACAGATTGATATTACGTCCAAAGCGTGACGAATTGTCGTTTCGCATCGTTTTCGCATTTCCAAACGCTGTAAATTACTTCTATCAAAGCATTAAATTCATCTCCCAAAAGTAACACGATTATGGTATTGTACTGAAAGCTTGAAGTGGTTTAATTACTTCTAAGTTAATTTGCGAAATGATCACACAAATCAGGAACAGAAATAAACAAACAGGTAATACCTGATACGGAAGAAAGAAAAAAAAAAAGGAACTTCCTGCAAATGCTATATGAAATCCATCGGTTAAAAATGAATTCTGCTGCGAAATGTCTTGTGAAGAAGTAGTTCACATGGGAGTTAGTTGGTATGAATTAAATGATTAAATGTATCTTTTGGAAACTTTAAATAGTTTAATGAATTGTCTATGGAATGTAGAAAGGACCTTCCATAATTGGACTTGCTTCTAAAACTTGTTGTTCAATCCAGGAATGTTGGCCAGATACGGTTGCCAGAAATTGGATAATCAGTTTTGCAGATTCTGTTTTGCCTGAACCTGATTCACCACTGAAATTAGTTGTAGTTAATAAAAATAAATTCTGATTTCAAAATTTTAATTTTAAACATTGATTAATATGTTATATCATATGCTATCACTTAGTTTTATATTGTCAAACGTTCAAGAAAATAGCGCCAAAGTAATTTGGTTAAATCAATTCAACTGAACTTAAAATACAGTACATTTAAATTGATAGTGCAATTCTTTTAACTCTTCCTTAAATTCATAACCTGATTTAATCTTTTTTTTCCTTTTCAAAATATGAAACAGTTAACCTGAACTAACCTAATAAGAATACATTGATCTCGATTACTTGATTTCATATTGCAATAGGCAGAGTTAGCAATTGCAAAGATATGAGGCGGAAGCTCACCGATCCGTCGATTACGGTATAACCGAATTTGTTCTATTGAATAAATAGGCAAAGGCATATTTGGATTTACTGCTATTAGTATAGAACCGACGTATGTCTGTAAAATTCACTCTCTGAATGCGTGAACCCAATTACTGCAATTAAATCTCAAACTTCAGATTCTAATTAAACTCTAAACAATATCCAAAAGTTCTATCTGTTTTTGTTAAATGTATTGTTTATATGAGCCTATAAAAATGATAAAAATGAATCATTTATTGTCATCGGTCATAGAGCTTATTGACTATTTTGAGCCGAAAGTCCTGGTGTCCTTCAATTCGATCATTAACCTTTGGATTTAAAAGTGATGAACAAATTTGACAATGAGAAAGTACACGATAAAAAAAGAAGGAAAGAAGAAAGGGAGATAGAAGGATGAAATGAACTACTATAACTATCCGTACTTAGTTTGTTCATCGAATCTTTACTTACTGATAGTTCTTGTTTTTTATCATTTTCTGTTTCTCGTTTAGTACGTGTTTTAACCTAGAGATAGAAATTCTAATTTAAAATCAAAGAGAGCATGAAATTGAAAGAAACAAAGATATCAAATAATGAAATTACAAAAGGAAAAATATACAGATATCTACTGTTGCTATTCAAACTATGTTATGAAATCTCAGAGTATACCTGAATTTAAAAGTAACCCTCTGAGATTAGATCTAATCTTTATTATGCATCATTATGTTATTTTACAACAGCTTAATTTCATATTCTTCCTTTTCAATTTTTTCTTAACAATTTTAAAGTATTATCACTAAGTTAATAAAGTGATAATAGCAATATTCATTGATGAATTTAGATTTAATTAATGCAAAATAATCGATTACTGATTATATTTCTTAATATTATAACATACATAGATGAGCTTATTGCTATAGCGCACGAATAAGTTTCGAAGTAATGCAGCTTCATGCAAATCACCTAAACTGATCATATCTTCAACACCTTGCACTGAAGTTGCATGCATCATACGATAAGGACGATCTATTGGTAACCAATGCTCCTGAATAATATACGTCAGAAAATAAAACTATTTGAATTAATCGGAAATTTAAAATAATTTTCCGGTAAGTTCTGGATAGAAATTTCTAACATATTTTAGTTTTAATCGTCATAAGTCATTAAAATAGAAATGAAACTAAGGAGCTATCAATAATTTCATCTTATCCGATAATATTCATGAAACTTTGTCTGCTTTAATATTAAATCATAATGTTAAGAGAGAATGATATATCTTTCTTATTAATAGAGAGAAAATAAGGGAAGAATTACCTGGGCAAAATCATCGATCACCCTGAATTTGTCATCCTTAATCTCTAGAATTCGTGCACCGATTGGGCAAATGAGTCGACTTTTTGTAATGGGTTCGAGCCATAAAAAGTCACCCTATAAAAGAATGGACAATAATTTATGGTTTTATACAATATGACTAGATTTTCAGGTAAAAGATTCATATATCATTAAACTTTAACTTTATCAATTTAGGTAGAAATATATGATATCAGACCTTACTGAACTGAACCATCCTTTTAGCTCATTGGATTATAATCAATGAATTCAGCAAAACTTAGAATTAATTAAAATCAGATTCTTGTCGTGCTGATAAGTAATCCTGAAAAGGTACTTGTAACAAGAGATACATTCCTTCTTTTTGCACTTAATATAAATAAGACGTGAATACTAGCGTGAATGTTTCACGTACACGTGTTGTCAGTAATTTATTCGCCTTTATTTATCAAGCAATACCTTTGATATCATTCCTACACCGTGACAAATAATTCATATTCAAAAAGGACATATTACGGTAAAGTAAGAATGTATGGAAGAATTTATTCTCAAAATTTTTTTTTTTTAAATAATAACTAAAAGTATTTAAATGTGTACTATTATGAAGTGAAAGATAGCAATTAGATTTATTGATAATGAGCTGATAATTCTCTTTTTAATAAATTTAAATACTGAATGAAAAAGTACACGTCAAAAGTACACGTCAATATACGTAAATACAAAAACAAACGTAATATACACGTAATCGGAATTATTTGGATTTTATAGATAATTGGAAAAGAGAAATAAGTTTAGTTGAGAGGAAAGGAATTCCTTAAATGGGAACAGTGATACGATTCTTCCTTCTTCTTTCTATTGAAGAATTAATCAGTGCACACAATACACATTCATACCTTTCGATGCTGTCACTTACAACGGACTCGCGACATTCTCATCTCTGAAGGTCAAATCCTATCTTTCTTTGCCTATAAATGGATCATTTTGTTTATTGAATGAATGATGGACATAACTTTATGGATATCTGATGATGACCACTTCCATTTATCATGCCAACTCTTTCCCCATCCAATCCTTTCTATTTCATAATCATTATTCCCATTTGGACAAACCTTTCACCGCTTATAAGTGATCTTGGATGATTGTAATAGATCGATAAATCTATTAAATGTATCAGAAGGATTTTAACAGGATTGGTCAATCGATTTCGTCTGTAATGGTATTTACTGATGATAGCTTCTAAAATCATTTACAATTAGATCCAATAATATAGCAGTTAGCCATGAAATGAAATATTTCTTAGGCTTGGCCATTGAACATTCAATCCCAGCATTACTCCCAACTTTACAGGATATTCGGTTGTTGCCAGAACACTTTCTTTTTTGTTTCTTTAAAATGATTTTATTTAAGCATTGGTAACAATTAATTATCGCAATAAATTGGAAATTTTTAATGGATACAATCATTTTGTAGCGCTTTTTAATGGATAACTTCCAGTAATAATTCCATCAAATTATTAGTTATCTTTGATGAACTTTGTACAGTAAAGCGAATAATTCACAGTAATTTAAGAAAAAAAAAATGACCAGCTATTTTGGTTCAAATATAACATAAAGCTGATATATTTTTTGGAATGCACATTTTGATAAAATTTTATTCGAATTCGAAATCAACTTTTCTAACTCTGAAAATACCTTAAAATGGAGAAAATACCTCATGAACTTTTGCTGAAATGCCTCTGATCTCATCAAAACTGAAAAGAAAAAAAAAAAACTACTAGAAAATGTGCATTCTTTTGAATAAAACGAAACCAAAAGATATTGAATGCGAAAAAAAAAAGAGAAATAATTTAAAAGTGATATGAGGCACGTCACTCAAGATAAAACAGTTCAGATGAAACGAACAGCTAAATTAACAAAAAACATATTGCTGTAATTTACACATTTAACTTCAGCTTTATTGATATTGTAATGATGTGACTGATACGAAATTAGATGAGGATATTTCAAAAAAGAAATTTACAACTCATACTACTTTGCTTCTTATTCTTATGCAAAATTTTAGACTACCGAGAGAAAAAACACTACTAATCGAGGAGAGAACCTGAATAAAGCCTAGAAAATGAACGAAAGTAAGAGACTAGAAGGAATGCACCAGTGAAGAAATTAAAGATAGGGTTGTCTAGAAAACATCTGGAAGTGGTGAAGGATCACAGTGCTTCGTGAGACATGTTTTCGTTACTGTACCGCTACAGTCATTTATGCAGCAACTTTCTGATCGTGTCTTCATGATCAGTTTGCGCTTATTCATCGGTGGTCCTATAATTTTTCAAAATTCGATTAATTTCAATAAATCTTAGTAGAAGTGGCCGGAAAGAGTGGATGAGAGTATTAGTTGAAAAATTCAGCTCCGCTACTGCACATCCAGTAAGTCTTGACCGGTCAAGGTGCGGGAAACACCACACACTTTGAATGACGTACCTTCGGAACATTAATCACTCTTCAACAATGATGCACCCTTTTATACTTTTTATGATGACTACGAGCTGAACTATTAGCTCTACCGGAAAACAGTAAGAGAAGATCACTTACCGATATAGCTGAGTAAAACAGGTAAAAATATGAGACCGTGTGATGCTCCAATAAGTACAATGCCAAGGAACATACGGAAGTAAAATATTTTGAAAATTTGGGAATGTGCAAATGCGAGGACCAGTATTCCGCCAAACTTTGTAAGTGTTATTCCAGAGAGGACCTGCAAATGACAAACAGCTTATTTTTCCGTCTTAAAGTAGTCTATACCAAAAATTTTAGAAACAGTTCGAAATTTAAATAAAGGTACGAACCGATGATCCCATACTTGCAAGAGAATGCCGAGCACGCATCAAACGATCCGGATGAACGCTTAGTGCAAATGATCGAACGATGTGCGAACAGAATTCCACCGATATTCCCACTGTCTGCGAAAGGATATTTTAAAATTTTAAAAACTAATTTTTTTTAGTTCTAAACAATGAAAAATTCTTAAAATCTCACCATGACAAGATTAACAACAGAAACAGCATTGAAATCAATACTCCACCAATACATGAGACCAATTAAGTCAAACAGAACACAGCTTATTGTAAGATCAATTATGAATGCAGACCACGGATCAAGGCCGAGAAGCACTGTTGTGACCGCAAATATAGCTACTAAGGAGAGTACTAGCTGGATGCATGCATCCATTACTATCGTCGTATACTGCTCATAGAAAACGTAAAATACGCTGCAAACAAAATTTCGTGTATAAAAATGTGAAAGGTTATCAGGGTCACTTCGTTGCAATAATTAAAATTTAACATTTAAAAGGTGAATTGTATTACTTCGAGATTCCATTTTTTGAACATACAAATGATTAGCGGATGTGCTGTTGGCACCACTAGCTAATGGTTAAATTCAACTTCGACAGTCACAGCAGCATTTTCCCTTCCTTAATTTCGAAGACTGCAATTGGCTAGACCAAAGATCTTTCATGTATCGAATTTTACACCATATTCTCAGCAAATTTGGTTTCTTCAACTAAATAAATTAAGGACTGCAAAATGACCTGTACGGAAATACTTCTATAGGACATCGTCCATCCCTGTCTTTGTTTAACATAGCTGTGATGTTGGCAGCAATACGGCGAGCACTAGTCATGGCATTTATGAAATCTGATGAAGTTTTCAAAACTGTATGATACGTCATGAAATGCGAAGACAAGATTCGGCCACGCCTAGATAACTTAACGGCTGAACCGTATGCTGCATGACCTCTGAAAACACAAACACTGATTTCGAAAAAAAAGAAACTTTGAAAAAGCTCATACCGTACTTCTAGAAATATATAAGAGGCAATACTACATAGATATATTTGAGTTGTCCAGAAGAAAACCAATCCTTTTCAATTTTCAGCATGGAAAGAATTGACCTCTTGGGACATCCACACAAATGTATGACAGCTGATCACGACCTTTCATAATGCACTTTTGCACTGGTTGAAATATAAACGCAGAAAATTACCCTTTGGCACATTTGGTACTTGGATTATTGGAGAAGAAGTGCGTGAGATGATCATAAAACAGGTCTGAGCGAGGTCTACCATCGAGAAACTCCACGTTACAAGGGATGCAGTTTTCTGAATTCTCTAAAATTGTACCAAATTGATTGGCGAAATCCAACATCCATTAGAAAATTGTTGTTGTTAAGAGATCATCTGATAGTGTATCGCAGCAGCAATGAAACATTAAAATAAATTGTAGCAATTATCAATTATGATCATAGAAAATAATACAATTTTACCGATGGAGGAGCAAAAGGTTTCATTGGGGAACATCCGACAACATGGTGGATCACCGAAGGGTTGTAACCAGTCGAAGTAATCGTCGAGCCAGTTCATTGCTGGATAAGCTACATAAGATCTGTAACAGAGATAATATTTCGTTAACAGCATTTAAATCAGTGGACTGTCAAATTTTCGAAAAAAGCAAAAACAAAACAGTTGAAATGTTATTGATATTTTTAGATGATAATCTCTTTGAATATTGAAATTTCCTACTCAATTGATACATCCCAACAAAACAACTCTTTAATCTTCTCAGCATCCTATCATCTGTTTGAAATGTTAAAATCAAAAAAAAATCTGTAAGTTTTTGTGAAAAAAGGTATATTGGATATACTAACAAGAGAAGTGAGATTTGCCATTTTATGATCACATTGATTTTGTGTCATTTCCACTAGCAGAGAAATATTTTAAAAGCTTTCAACAACGATTCAACTAGAAACTGAAAATACATAAATTATTGCACCTATTTGACCACCGTGCGGCATGGGCGATTTGAGCACCCAATGAATCAGTGGCACAACCCGAACCGGAGCAAATTTTGTTGTGTTCATAAGGATCACTGAATTCCAAATCACCTTTGATGACAAAATACACTGGTGGACCAACTGACAGAAATCGATCCATCGATTTGAAATAGGAAAAAACATACGAATCCTGTAAAAAGCTAGCATATATCACTATAATTAACATTCTTTCCTCAGTACTTCCTCGTACGGTATTTGTGGGTAAACCTCTCCGTTTTCATAATTTTGTCGATTCATATTTCACTGCTACCAGATATCCCGGAATGGAAAATTCAATCTCATCAGTGCTTTCTTCTTTGCTTAATAAGCAATAAGAGAAAGAAATTAAGAAATGAAGAAGAAGGAAGTATTTATTTCCTGAATCTTCCATATGCATACCAAAGGAAGTACTGCTGAGACACTGATCGAGTTACAAAGATGAACTGGAATTAAAGATGAATGGAAGGAAATTTTCTCATCGATGAAAATTCTTTCAGTGTCATTAGTTATTCTTTCTTTTTATTCAGTAATACGGAAATGAATGAATGAATTACTTCAGTCATTGACTTCGGAATGTCTGATTCATTCAGAATTGATCAGTTCTGAAGAAGGATTCGTCGGAGTAAGTGATGACTTATCGTTTATTCGATCATTTTTGGCGATGTCTTTCATGGCTAAAGATGATCGAACTAACGATAAGTTTTGCTCAGTAAAATAGTATGAACAAGTGATGAGAGAAGAACAAACAAGAAAACGAGAAAAAAGCAGGGAAAGATACGAAAACAGAAAGAGAGCCAAAAAAAAGGAAGAGAAATTTGTTGAACCAATATTTAGTTGACACATTAATGTTTAGGTCTTAGTTCCAGGGTGTCAGGAGCCCTAAGCATAAAAATGAATATAAGAATTGCTGAAGCAATAATGTCGTCTGTATATTCCTTTTAAAAAAAAAGAAATAAATTGTTGTACCTCGGGAACTGCCATTTTTTGATCAAATCCAAGCGGTATATTGCCTATCACTGCGAATGAGCTACACAGCCAACCAGCAAATAAAAATATCTAAAATTAAGGCAAAATCTAAGAAAATTGCTTAGAAAAAGAATCTAGCTATAAGTAAGCCAAATATATATATAGTGGCCTACCTGATTGTATGTCTTTAAATATGCAAGAAAAGTATTCATTTTCATGATTTCATTGAAAATTTTATTATTATATTATCCTTACCACAATAATTCGAACGAATTTTGATAGCAGAAAAGGTGCGTAGTAGTTACTGAACAGGTACAACATATAACCATCATTGTTAACACTTTCAACGGTTGTTATCTGACGACAACAACATATTTCTGGCCTACCATCCTAAATATTCGCAAGCTTCTCAATAAATCCATAATACTGGAAATGGTAATAAATACTGTAAATGATGGTACTACAAAGGAACAATAGTCACCAACAACAGAAACATTTTGATGTGACAAGTTACCAAAGATTGCTGGCGGATTAAAAGAGAGAGAGGGAAGCGACACCACAACTTCATAATGTAAGCAAGTAATGCATTTCCATGAAAACAGAAACAAATCTACCTCTTCACGTCGCACGTCAACGATGAATATAGCAAGGAAACAGGTTATTTGTAGGAAAAAGTTGAAAAATATCGCTAAAGCTGCATATAGCGAAAATACCTAAACGAAAAAAATATACACTATAAGAGGCAAATTTCATAACAAAATCTTGAAAAATCAAGCAAAAATGCTGGCAAATAGAAAACTATCAGCACTGCCTTCTGGGTATGTTTAATATTGGAACAAGTGTCACAAGGAGTGTTACCTTCTTTCAACTTCAACAAAAACTGCTATCTAATGCATAACACATCGTCGTAGGCACTAACTTAGAAAGTAAATCTTAAAAATATATGAAAGGCTGAAATTATATCTTCTTTCTTCATTTTTCTTTAGACAATTCATGAATTGTTCGTTGGGCAAGGGAGAATTTCAAGAAGGGATAATGAACAGAAGTGATCTGAGAATTATTTTCTGAAAATCGTGGGATTCATTGAAAGATTACCTTGACAGCAGGCATTGAAGATAATGCTCCGACGAAGAAACATAAGCATTCGGAGAGCGATGATAGAAGCATAGACGGTATCACTTCGCCACTTATACGTGAAATTCGCAAATGTAATGGTTCCGACAAAGGTTCCTCGGCTCGCTGAAAAATTTAGAGGGGAACAGAGCTGAATTTTCATTGGAAATAATGAAAATTATAAGATGGTTGAATTAAAACATGAGGACAAAAGAAAGTTAATCTATGGAATATCATTCGAATGGTTGTGATAAGTGATAAGTATAGCTTTACTTTATATGTTCATATTGTTAGATATCGCATAAAGCATAACAGATACTCTTTACTTTCTGAGTCGCAAAATGTCACACTACGTGTCCTTCCACATTTCCGTGTGCAAAAGTTAATAATGCAATTGAAAATAAAAATATATAAGAAATGCTTGCTACTTTTTCACTTTAATTTTTTCCAGTTATTAAACGTATCCTTGAGGCATGTTACTGTTACTGTAGACAATGTCTTGATTTTTTTTGGTCTAAAAGTCATCAATTTTATGTGAAACAAATAAACCAAAAGAAGAGAATAGACATTTCATCCTGGTAAACGACTCTATCGATTGTATGAGATGTAAAGGCAATGCTTAACAGATTCATTTCATGGTTCCGATCTATCAGGAACTGTGTGGGAAACATCATAGGAATATGATAGGGCGAAATAATCAAAAAGGTTGAAAATTTGACAAAGATTTCTCTGTGAATGCAAAAAGGAAACAATGAGATTTAATTAATGAATGGTAAACTTTAATGGTACCTGATAGGCATGTACAAAAATGAAGATGTTGTCGACACCTACGGCAAGTACTAGAAATGGTTGCACTTCCAAGACAATTGTCGTTGCAGGGATGCCATAGAATGCATATAAGCCAATGGATGATGTGACTGATAAGGCAACAATTATAACACCCGCAGCACCAAGCATTATCTTCGAATGGACAAGTAATGTGGCCAAATTGTTCCCGGTCACCTGTTGGGAAAGAATGACATGTAATTTTGTCTCAAACAACAAAAAGGAGAGGGTCTATTTGAGCATTAGACGGCCTTTTAGATTAAAAAAAGAACAAATACCTGCTGTTACTGCCCCAAGGATTAACACAGTTGGCGGAACTAACCTGATATTGCCCTAGTGCGAATGCAACATAAGCAAACATGAAGATATAGCTGATAAGTATGGTGAAGACATCCGATTGGCTTTCTCGATCTATTTCATCCTGCATAAAATATGCAATGTAGTATTGATTCAAATTCTTAGATGAGTATAGGAAGGGAAAATTAACGTGAGATTCTTGTGCTGAACAGAAATAGATTAATGAATTCCGGGCGGAAAACATTTATAATGAAGCAGTGATAGAGCAAACCTGAATAGAACGTTCGGCCATGAATGATATCGCGTAGTTTTGATGCGAAATATTCCGAAGATAAAGGATAAATCTTAAGAAAAAAGTAACAATATAATTTGGATTTTCTTACCATTTCAACAGTTAACTTCTTTTAAATTTAAATTTATGCAAAGTGATATGTAAATTCCACTTCGTTGTATTTTGGAAGAACAATTTTAGCTTGATAAAAACTGAAATACTAACACTTTTTCCCATGCAGCAGCATACTTATTTTCCGCAGCGGTGATATGATTGTTCAAAAGAATTGTGATAACAATACCCCTTGCACTATCCCATTGATTACTACTGTTGAATTCACCCAACACAACATACGGTTGAATGGGTACACCAAATGCAGATAAGCAGGGGATACCGAGCCGAGTGATTGTCTGATACGGATTCCTAAATTAAACACTTTTCCCTCTTTTGGGTGCTATTGAACTCCAAAACTACTACTCTGTTTGAACTTGCAAAACAATGAAATTGCAGTTGGAGGAAAAAGTCACTTACTGAGCGCATGTCATGATATGATCCAGATAATCAAACTGTGAACCACTCCAGTCATCCACGCTTGTCTGATTCAGAAGTGTCATATTATTCTAGTAAAAAAAAAAAAAACTGCCATTCCTTTGAAATATGATAGTAACATAGTCACCCCTGGTAGATTACTCTTTCGAAGTACTCAATTTCACGCAGTATTACTGAATCATCTGATTATATTTTTAAAGTTTCATCAAATTCTCAAAAATTCCTCAGTAAATTTAGATCTTTTATCTGCCTATGAAGGCTTTCGCGAATGAAATTTTGATAATCCCTACGATAAATATACGCTTTGTAGTATCCAAAATCGCATACTTCAACGTTTAGAAATACGAATGAATTGATTTGGCATCCTGACATTTGTGGAATTTTTTCTTTACAATACTCAGAATTACTTAAGGAATAAATTGGGATAAATTTTATAAGAATTTGAGCCGAATTCTTTGCAGTAATTGCTTCGAGAGCTTGGTTAAATTGTCAAAATTTTAACTTATAAGATCGTAACTCAGGATTGATTTCTTAATAGAACAGTACTGCAGGACATTCAATGAAATTTTAATAAGTTCAATACGATTAATGGAAAAGTTGGTCCAAATAAATAAAAATAACCGAAATGTAACCTGGAAATAATTGAGTACAGTCATGATTGCACAATTCTGATTATCAGGTATCATCGGTTTGTAGCACACATCAGTAAGTGTCACCTTACGACCGTCTTCTGCTATTGCGACCAAATCTGTCACCGCTTCTTGCAGCTGTGCTACCTAAATACCCAACAAGTAATTACTTTTAATTCTTCAGTGAATTATAATCACATTTTAAAGGACAGAAATACAATTTAATGTTGAGTTTGTTGCTAAGAAAAGATTAAGAAAGAACTTCTTGAAGGAATGCTTTTCGTAGTGCTGGGCCATAGAAGCCAAGTTCGAATAAGTCCGACTGATTTTCATGTGGCCAGAATGACTGATCTCGTGGGTATATGATCAATTGTTCCATGCGATAAAATGGTCTATAACCTTTCTCTTTAAACAAAAATCATTTCCTAAGAGTGGAAATTCCAATCTGATGCAAGTTTCTCACCGAAAAGTAGATGATTCTCTTACTAAGTGCTTCAGCGGGAATGGAAATGTGGGAAGAAATGAGTGAATCGATTCGGTTAATATGAAAATCTTTCGGAAAAAAAAAATGAAAACATGACAAACTAACCCGAATTCGTTATCAAAAAAGTATTTCTCGCTACGTGCTCTACTACTCCAGGATGACCAAAGTTCTACCGGATCTGTAGTGAAACGAACAAAGAGCATACCACTTGAGCAAAGTACCGCAATAAGTATACCAAACATAAATACCGCTAACGGGTGTTTAACGCATAGCTGAAAAGAGAGGTGAATGATTTAAACTTTTTAATATTTAAATCAGTTTCATTGATAAAATATCTTCTACAGGTCCACTATATGAGTAACATGAAAAGATGAATGGTAGAAATTTTTCCAAACTTTTTGTAATTTCATGGTATAATCCAACCTATTGTGTGTTCACAGAGTTTGCTATCAATATTACCTCTCCATAATGAGCGCAAATCAATTCAAGTTGTGACTCGATCCATGATCCCAATGTATCAATTGTACCTAGGTCAGCATCATCTAATGTTCCACCGGTTGGTTTAAAATCACTTAAATCGCTATCCTGACTTCTTTTCAAGCTATAATGCATTACCGCGAAAAAAAGTACCGCAAAGCATAATCCACCAAATCCAAAAAGTGATAAAATTAGCATACAATCAAATGATGCGACATGACATTCTCCCTGAAATTTTGTAAATTTGTGATAACACAATTATTAATAAGGATCGTAACCTTTACCAATAAGGTACTTTAATCTACTCTCTGATACCTGCAATTTTTCTCGAATATTCTTTGCATTTTCAGTAAGCTCAGGTTTTAACAGAAATTGATAATGATAGAGATGTAAGCGAAATAAATGTAAATTGTGCCGTGGAGAAATTCTGTAAGCGAAAAAAAAAAAAAAACTAGCCGCTACGGTTCGAAACCATTTGGAATTTTTTTTTTGATAGCTTGCATATTTCTAGCTAGATTCTGCTTGATATGATAAAACATGAGGTCAACTGCTGTCTAGTATTCAAGAAAAAGGAATTACTCATGTCAACAATTAGTTAATCGAAAGCAGAAAGTTGAATAGAATTTCGCAAATTTCGAAAAACTTTTTTCGTACACATACTTCAAGAAGTTTTAAATAAATTGATACCACTGAACTACACCAACTTTATTTTGCAAGGTATCAAAGTGCAGCAAGCTATCTTGATGTTGATGTAAAAAGATTAACCTTTACCTGTGATGAATATACACGGAAGCAATACTTACCTGTGTGATAAAAGGAAAAGGTGATTCGGCAACGCAAGACTGAGGACAATCCTGACAGGAACATGGAGAGCCACTAGGATGAGCTGCTTCTGAACAGAGAAACACCCGTGTGGTAGGTGGGTTAATGTCAAACACTGTAACATTTGAAACGTTTAGTTGACCTTCTTTTACGGATTCGAGCAAGGAAGGAGTAGGAATGAAATTGATATGAAAGGGTACACCGATATCCTCGTTGTATGTACCTAAGAAAGTGAACCACCGGGATATGTCACACTCGGTGATGCTTACGCCACACATGAAACTAAGTGCATAATCCGTTCCAATCGCTCGAACCTATAAAGTCCCAATATTTAACTCTAATTTATCGACATGTGAAGATGGCTGTGAAATAGCATCTTTCAATCATAATTTCATCGATATTCACTTATATTTTTCAAAATTCAAAAAAAAATTTCATTCGAAATTAGTATAAAGAGCGTTTTATTTTTCGACGACAATTGTATTGCTAATAATTAATGGCATGAATAATGAATGCGATAAGTGACAACTCCGCCAAATTCATATGTCTGCTGCATTTTCAATAAGAAGCGCAAACAGACTGTTTATCTATGACAGACTTGCAAAAAGCAAGCATAAGCGCTGATTACTTTTAAATTAGATGTCATGTAAGTTAACTAACATCTTTGCATGATTGAAATAATCCATCTGCGTAACTGTCTCGTACGTAATAAGCAACTTCTGTGACGTACTGCGTTTTGTTTTCCCTGTAAATCAAAAAAATTGAACATCCGACCAGTTCTGTTACAATATCAGTAGCTTAATGCCAGAACAAACGGTAGGAATTGCTTGCAAGTTGTAATGGAAGAAGAAAAGTGAAACCGATTCGAACACAGTTCAACTCCTCCCAATTCGCTTTTGGCAGAGAATTGCGTTCGCAACCCATAAAACACTACCTTATGAAAAAGAAGCTTCACGAGTAAGAAGGCGCCTTGGGTTGGCCATTTTGATTGATTGATGACCTTCCGATTGGCATTTCTAGGCTCATTTATACGGTGGAAACAATGAAGAATTTGCGACACGCTTACACGAGATATAAATCATCGGTAGATGCAATGACCCGTACAAAATTCGCCTGGTTTGGTGAGCACGTGAAGTCACACCATAGCTGTATAAAATTCATCAAGCAACTTGGACATCGCGCCAGGAATTGTCGTGGCAGTGTCATTTGCGTATCCAATAATGCCACCTGCTTTTCATCACAGCAAAATTCTTCATTGCCTCCTGAAAGTAACCTATCCAGTGAGTTTATACTAGCTCAGTTACTAAATATTTCACTGAACTCTTCTCCTCATTTTGTCACCATCACAACTTGACCATAAAGAAATCAAATATATTATTTGGTGCAAATCATATTCCCCATTTTGAGCATGTTGTCACGTTGAACGTCCCCAAATTCATTGCCGACAACTAGCATACAGCCATAAATTAACAATTCCACAAGTGAAGATGTTACTTAGTTTATGGCTCATTTTCATTTTCCCTCTTTCTTTTGAGGTAGGAGTTGGCCACTTCAACTGCTCCTCCTATTAGTCCAACAGAACAGCTTGTGACTTTTTGGCTCCTTGTCTACTGAATGATTGGAAAGTAACCATTTGGCTATAATAACGTGTCCTGTCACTGCTATGCAATACAGTGAGCGCTAATGGTATCGCCACTGATAATGAAGGCATATTGAAATGACCCGAGAGATATCCATCTGTCCAATCATTCACAGATTTACATCGCCACTATTAACGTTCATGGCCACAGCCATCTGACCTACTTAATTTGCTTATTGACAGTTCAAATCAATAATATTTATTCTTTTCCTCTTTTGTTGAGAGATGCAACTTTGGCAGAAATAATTCTGCAGCCCATTCTTCTTTTGGAAACATTCAGACAGACCGATCTCGTCCCCGCGGGGTTCCCCCAGATTATGCTATCAACTGTCCATCTGGAAAGCATGAAAAAGAACTGAGATAACACAAGGAAGCAAGAAAAGGCCAAAACTTTCACGTAAATGTCATACTAAGACAATTCACTGACAGACAGACAGACACACACACACACACAAACATATATATTATGTGATTTCGCAGTCGCAAAGGTAGGAAAGTTCGTTTAAACTTTCCTCTTGTTTCATCATCTCTTCTCTTTGGCAGCTTCCGGGAAGAGGAAGCGGGAGATTTGAGAGAAATGAAAAAATAAAAAAAATGGGAAGATGGTGGGGAAAAGAAGCGGGCTTCCTTCTAACTTCTTCCTCTCCCAGTCACCGGAAGCGTAATACTCCAGAAGATTCATAAAGAATTTTAACTTCCTCTATAAATAAAATAAGCCTGACCTATATCCGTAAGTCTCATCTCACAAATGTCAACGATGTTAAAATATGACCCTTTCTGTCGAAGTTTAATCTTCATTATCACAGTATATCAGTATCATAATTCATCATTATATTGATCGTAATATGCAAACTTGCTTCTCTTCCTTATCCTGAATATAAGAGAAGAATCCTATCCTAGGAAAATAATCCTATCATCCCAATCCTGAATAGAGAATCCTATCATCTTTATTCTGAATAGAGAATCCTATCATCCCTATCCTGACTATAAGAGAACTTATTAGGACAGTACCTGAGTGATATCAATGATATAAACTTTAAAAATTGATATCATCATCGGTTTTCTCAGAGATCCTAATGAAATTTTAAGAATTCTTTTATTTTTGAAGTTTATCTACTACTTAGAAATATGAGAATATTTCTGTTGCAAAAAGCTGTATCTTTTAATTATTTTTAAAGTCTAATTATTTTTTAATCACGAAAATTCGACCACTTTTTTAAACAAAATTTATGAAAATTTAATTTAAGTTTCAACAAAATTTAACTATTTGCTCATATTTTGATAAATTTTTCGTTCTATTCCATAATCGTTTCATTATTCATTTATAGGCAGAATTAGGCGATGCATAAGAAGCTTACAACCTGAAATTATTACTGGATGCCTAATGCTACTGAATGTCCTCAAACAGAAGAGAAGAATTTCAGGAAGAGTAACGAATTACATCTGAAATGTATATGTTATTTAGTATATCGAGTGGATGTTTTGATGAAAAATTCGATGGATAATTAAATATGAGAAATAATTAGCAAAGAAGGGAAAGGAAGGTTTACGTCAATAAATGATCGAAATGGACGAAGAGAGAATTTCGAACAAAAAATCTAAAGTTTCATATGGAAAATTCTTAGTTCCCAGAAATTTCATCGTTAAATGATAAGTGTTTGGTGTTCAATCAACAAGGGATCTCAAAGTTAAACAAACTGAGTATGCAAATTTTGATTGAGAGAAATAATATGTGGAACATCCAGCTAGTATGTCCAATATATGTCTTCTCTTGGCCAGGATAATTGATCTTGAATCACTGTGCTTAATTAGCTAGAACTTTGCTTTGAGTGCTACACTTAACTTGGCTTTTGTCATTTCCAGCCTTAGGCACAAATTCTCAAGTGATCATTCCATTAAGTATTTTTGCTTATTTTGAAAGAAAAATAATACTGCGAAGCCAACAAATTATGAAAATGAAATTATTTTTTCAAAAGAAAAAGGTTAAAATGAGGCAGTGCAAATTAAATGAAAGCAGTTTTGAGGGGAAATAAAAAAAAAAAGCAAACAAATAGGAGAGGAATAAACGAAAAAAAATTCGATTAATTAATTAATTAATTAATGTCATTGTGTGATTACGAAAGATATGTTTTCCTTTTTTTTTTCTCCTATTTTCAACTTCGAAAAATAACTTCTACGATTGATAGTCAACAAAGCCCGGACAAGAAACCCCGCACCGCATTGTCACTCTCATGACCCTAACCAAAACTGTCTTCTCCATTATATTTTAAAAATGATGGTCCTATTTACACTTCATTCTTTTACATTCTTTCCATTCAATCTTCGGGTCTTTTAATATTATTTCTCGTTGTATCGAATCCCTTAATATTATTCCTTGTTATGTACTCTAACAGAGAATCGAATTATTTCATTGATTAAATGAGATCATTAAAGTGCATCGGTAAATTAACTTAATTTAATCTTTTTTTTTTTTGGCTTTAAATATTTCATTTAACTGAATGTACCATTTATTTTGGTTTAAAAAAAAAAAAAAAGAGAAAGATAGAAATATGATAAATATTAATCAAACCTTGGAAGAGATGTGGACACAATGATTTCAACGTTTGATGATGTTTTTCCACGGATATACGTAAAGGTGATCCATGATAAGGACATGTTTGATGCATATCACCACGATGTCCACATACACCACGCATGGAGCATTGTCGTACCATTTTTGCAGTAGATGATGATACACTGATGCTACTACCATGGTTCACATCACCACGTAAAACTTGAAAGTAAGCCACAAAAACAAGCTCAACTGCAAGTAGTTGTCGCATATGCATATTAATTTTGGCGATTATGCAAATTTTTCTCTGCCAGCATAAATTTAAAAAATTCTCATAAATTTATCGCTGCAGTTATAGAATGAAACAAAGCGACACTGTGACAATTATTATTTCGATACAGAGAGAGAGAGAGGGAGAGAGTAACATATGAGAGACAATGTCGCGTAAATTTGAAAGGAATTTGTAAAAAAAAAAAGGAATAAAATTTACGAAGAGAAATCAGTGGTAAATTCATCGAATGGTGGCTCAATGCCTTTGAATTGTTCTTATAATTTGAATTCGTTTAGCAATTGGATGGAATAAAAATCGTAACAAAATAATCAATATTCTTGATAAAACGAATGATTAGTTTTCATCATATGGGACCACTTATTTAAATATGTGCATTCCACGTTTCAATATCGAAATCCGTAGTAGTAATAAGAAAACTCTGCAATAAATTATTGATAATGATTTTATCAGAAGATAAAAAAATGAAAGTAAAATTAGCGTACGTCAATTGATTAAAGAAAGATTGATCGATTGGATAAGATTACCTAAATGATTAATACTATTTGATTGATTAAATGTTTGAATTAAATTATGGAATGAAAAGATGCGGCAAGAATTTACAGAAATTTCGTACCGATACCGCATTTGCAGAAACGATGTATAATTCTGTCATCCGCTCATTTTTAAAATAATTATACCAATTCGAAGCAATGCTAAATGATCATTGATCGTTTTACATATACATAAGGGATATAATAATATTGATCATGAATCCGATCGTGTATATAACCAATGAGATGATGCAGAAAGTGTAAGATTTACCATTTGAATCAATTTCACTTTTGATATTTTCAGAATGCAGAATAGAAGAAATTCCAAGAGATGAATTGTATGGAAGTAATAGTTCAGTTCAGTGTAAAGATACCATCAAATTGCCATCATCATTTCATTTCATTAATTCATGTAAACGTTCCACAATATGCAAATAATGTTCGTGCATCCTGATACGATAGAACATGGAAGAATCGTAATAATTTCAGGAATATTTAATAATGCGAAATTAGTTCATTACAATTTCCTCTTTGCACTGATTCAATTAATTCCAACCATTATAGGCATTTTATTTATAAGCTTAGAAATTTACAACATAAACTATACGCAATATTAAGGGAAAAAAATCACGAATTTATGAAAATTTTTAGATGAAAAATACCGGAAAAAGAAAAAGAAAAAGTTAGGAAGTATTTGTTGTAACGAATATGAATGAGAATATATCATTTCTCTTTTTCTTTTTTCAGTAAATAAATATTCCTATATATATTCAAACAGCCTAATGTAATCCAGACCGATCCAGTTCAATCCACATCATTTATCGATCAAATCGGTTGATATTCAAACAGCCTAATGTAATCCAGACCGATCCAGTTCAATCCACATCATTTATCGATCAAATCGGTT